GCCCAAAACTCTGTCAAGCTGGGTTGCAACAACTCTTACCGGAAACGAATGGGAATCCCCTGTTGTCATCGGCTCAAGGAAATCTCGACGGAGGACCTCAAAGTTCAGCCAGAGGAATTTGATCCTCAATGGCATTACAAAGTGAGTTTTTTTTTTCTTGGGTGGCCTTTTTCCTTCCTTTTTTCTCTTTTCATTGGCGGGCTCTTTTTCCTTTTCTCTTGGGGGGCTCTCTTTTTTCTTTTATTTTTCTGGGTTCATTTTTCTTGGGGGGAGGGGCCCTCTTTTAAGGGGGGGATTATTTCTGGGGACTGGAGGTGGTTTGCCAAATTTTGGATCGGAAATGGTCGATGGTCGAAAATTGGCGCCGAAATGCAGTCGATGGTTGAAATATTGACCATCTGTGCAGCCCCCCCCCCTCTCCAATCGATCTTGGTCGATGGTCAAAAATTGGCGCCGAAATGCAGTCGATGGTCGAAATATTGACCATCTGTGCAGCCCCCCCCTTCTCCGATCGATCTTGGTCGATGGTCGAAAATTGGCGCCGAAATGCAGTCGATGGTCGAAATATTGACCATCTGTGCAGCCCCCCCGCTCTCCAATCGATCTTGGTCAATGGTCGAAAATTGGCGCCGAAATGCAGTCGATGGACCAATTTGGGTGGTCGATGGTCGAAATATTGCACCGCAGTGCAGTCGATGGTCAAAATTATGTTCATCTGTGCAACCCCTTCCACTCCTCAGCCCAAATTTTTCACACCTTAAAATTCAATTTCTGCTATTTTTTTTCCTCACCTCACCCCCACTTTTCACACCATATGATTGAATTTAAACCAGTTTTTCCTCACATCTCACCCCACTTTTTTCAGAACTCAAAATTGAATTCAAACCAGTTTTTCCACACATCACCCCAATTTTTTCACACATTAAAAAGGGAAATGAAACTTATTTTTATTGTTTTTTTCCCCTTCAGCAACCACCAGTTAATCTCTCAGCTGGAGACGACGAATTGGCTCAGAAAAGGAAAGATGTGCAGGCTCAACTTTCCTCCTTAAATCCCATTGAAGAAAAGGCCAAACTAGACGAAATTTCACGAATACTGGAAGGATCAGCTGCTATTGTCGACATTCAGAAGCCAGAGAAAACTCAAAATCCTTCTGTCAAGCCCAAACCCCAACCAAAGAATAAATCCAGTGCTCCTTCTCAACCCGAACCTTTGGCCAAGAAGCGCAAACTTGAAGAAACTCAAGATCCATCCCTTTCTTCAAGAACTTTATCCCAGCTCACTGCAAGTTCATCACAGAGTATCACCATTGTTAATCCAGTACAGCCACCCAACAAGGAAATTGTTCCAATCTACACCACCAACCTCATTGAATGTCTCCCAAAATTTATCCAGCCATACGTCGAAAGGATTGAAAATGTGAAGTCGGATGGTCACTGCGGGTTCAGGGCTGTTGCTTTCTGCTTAGGATTAGTCGATGAAGGATCATTCTTGAAGGTTCGAAGCGAACTTGTTAACGAAATCAACAGACGAAAGTTGTTTTACATCCAGACAGGAGGCTTTCGAAATCCTCAAGAATTGGAAGAATGTTTAGTTAGAATCAATACTAATTCACCTGAGCCGGTTGGTAAGGAGCATTGGATGGCTATGCCAATGACTGCAGAGCCTTTGGCCAATGCTTTTAGCACTCCAGTATTTTATTTCTCAACATCAGGCTCTTTTGGTTTCTTTCCACACTTCACCCCTGCCAACAACAACCCCCCAATTTTCATTGCTTTCATTCCTGAACAATCTCACTTTGTTGCACTTCAGCTGAAGGATCCATTGAATTTCCCATTCCCATATCCTATAGGTTTGAATAGTTGGATAAAACATTCTGATTTTAGAGTTCGAAATTGGCAGGATAAATACTCTAATTCTATCGAATTGGGTAAAAATAACCAGACTTTTTGAATTTTAATAGTTTTTGCATATCACTTTTTTTATCTTTCTCCATGATTCATTGATATGAAATTTGAATTTACTTAAAACTTATTTGGTATCTTACAATCTGTTTTGAGCTAAAAATACTGAGGATAATAATTTATTGTTTAAGACTAAATAACATCATCATCAATATTCTCATCAACAATATTATCTTCTGTGGCTGTATTGGGTTGATCAAAATCAAAATGATGTACATTCCAATTTTTTAAGCCATCTATAACACATTGTGCCATATCTTGATCTGAAATCTGTGGTAAAGTTGTTCTAGAAATTTTGTGATGTTGAAATGGATCATGAAATGAGGCTGTGTTGATCACAAAATACTTGTCATCTGTATGCATAGCTTGAGGTGTTTTTATTTCAGTTTGTTGATGTTCAATGTTTGCTGGCTTGGTCCTCTTGGTTGGGCATCTCCCCCTGTCACAATTATGTTGAACATTAATGCAAGATTGCACATCCTGCCAAGAAAAAAGCATTAATTATTTGAATTCGGTAAAAATAAAGAATAAAATAAGATACTTACTATCACATTAAAATAATTTGTAGTTGTTGTCCTACATATTTCCCTCATTGAATACAATTCATTCATTCCCATGAGTTTGAATTGGTTGAAATGAATATAGAACTTTGATCTTGCTCTTGAGTGAAATTCCCATAAGGATTTGACAGATCCAACAAGCAATTCTGAGCCATGGTGTTGAATCTGTTATAGCAATGCAAGTTAATATCAGGGGGATGAAGAAAAAAATGAAAGGACTTACAAGAACAAAGCATCCTTTCTCAAGAACATCATGTTTGTTGAGTTGAACTTGACTGACTTGTCGTATGTTGTGGCTGGAGCAATGTTCAATCAATTGTTGAGGGACTTCAAGCTGATCCTCCAAAATGACATTGGCGTTTTTTGAAAATGGAAATTGTTGAGGTGGAAGTGGGTTTGATGCGGAGAAGCTGTAACCCAAAGACTTGCGGATTACTTCGTTGTTCTGAAAGACGTTGAGGACATCTTGGGAGGCCGTAGAATGAGTTTGAGTTGAATGATCATAAATGTAACCACCAGAGAGTAGAAATCTGTCTGAATAATAGTTACTAAAAGTTACAGCTATATCTCTTCCAGCACTCTGCTTGTTTGAGTGGATTGATGCCCCTCGTAAGACTCCGTTGAAAGATTCAAATTTCTCTGTAGAAAATAGACTTGCTGATCCAAATCGGAGGATTGATTCAGGAAGATGAATAAGGTGATGGAATTTCGGTTTGTTGACCCATTGTGCGGTAGCTCGGATGGCGTGATATAGGAAATTCTTGATATAAATCTTGAGCTGGGTTATGTACTCTTGCATATTTTCAATCTTTGTAATAAAAATAAAAGGTACTAGTTGACAAACGGCCGTCCAGATTGCTTTGCGTTCAGGGCTGAGAAATTGGAAGAAGGTAAAAGGAGCTGCTTGGACAAGAACCTTGAATTCTTTTCCAACTAAGCTTTTGATATGTTTCATCATCGATTTAGCATTTATTGGTGGAATATTCAAGGCTTGAGTGTTGAATGATTGAAACCGCCCAACAAGTTCTTCTTTCTGATTTTCGGTGAGATTCTTCCCCATATCACGCGCTAGATATTTGACGAATCCAAGAAGAGCCACGTGTAAAATTTCAACAGGGGTATCCTGAACACCATCAAATCCTAAAAAAATCAAGTTTTCATTTTAAATAAGTGTTCAACTTTAACAGCGCAAATTGAAAAAAGGTCACCTTCAAGCTCCAAAAAGGAATTGAACAAGCTTTCCGGTTCCTTTTCTTCAAGTTTTTCCATCAGTTCTCGGATTCGTAAGTTTTTTTTTGCTTCTGTCAAAAACCGGGTGTTTCGTGAGTCTGTAAGACCATATTTGAGTTTCCTCCGAACAAACTCTGCATTACTTTCTTCCATCGCCGCACAATATAAGTCGTAAGTTTTCTCTTTTGTATCAATCCAATTTCTTTCTTTTCCTGTTGCCTAAAATATTCAAAAAAGAAAAACCATGAATACACATGAAAAATTGCAAAGAAATATAAATTAATAAATAAAACAAACCTCCGATCCATCAGGGTTGATCATCAAAAATTGTTGAACAAACTCAGGTGTATTCCTCTTATCCTTCCCCTCTGCATGTAAAGTGCACATTCGACACGGATTCAACGAAGTTCCAGGATTTGGTGTATTGGTGATCTCGGCGTGCATGGGCAAATCTGCTAAGAAACACAAGACAATTCCAGTGACCAAGACCTCCTCCATGATACTCGAATCAAATGCCACAAAACCATTTCTGGTTATATCACTGAAATTAAAGAGAAAAAATTGAACAAGAAATAAATCAAAATTGATTTAACAAGTGAATTCCTGGATTAAATTGAAACAAAGAAAAACTCACTTCATTTCTTTGACTATTTGCTCAGATATTTCCAAGACAGATGCTCTATTAGAAGTGGATAAGAAATGACAATTATATTCCTGATTGGAAATATGGGGGGGTAGTCCAGAAAGTGTAAAGTAAAAAGAGATATGTTTGTTGAATTTTTTGGAGACATTTCCAGAAGTATCGTCAGAGTATAAGGTGATTGGGACATGTCGAATAATTCTTCCATCCGCCTTTTGACGCCAAGGGTTGGGTAAACCAATCTTTTTTTGTTTGTCTTCATCATTGTATTCTGTGAACATGCATGAAAAAAAGATAGGTTTAATGAATATTCAAAACAAAAACATAAGAAGAGGAAGAATAAAATACCATATATTGCATTAGCACATTCCTCAGAGAGCTTTTTTCCATTGATTTCAATTTTGTTGTAGGATTTTTTGAACTGAATGGTTGGGATGATTTGAAGATTGGGATTGTTGAATTCAATATTTTGAGGTATTTTCAATTTAATTATCTTCTTGTTGTCTTTTTCGAATTGTCTGAAAACTGGTTCAATGCATTTGGAGTATAGTTGAGAATCTTGATGATAAAAAAAAACTGGAACAACAATTTTTTTGGAAGATAATTCTACGGGTTCAAAAATATAGTAATGTTCTCCTTCCACTTCACACATTGGAGCACGATGTTGTGGAGCCAACTCCTCGAGCCATTTCTTGGATTGGGAGAATTTGAAGTGGTTTCTTGTGGTCATTTCTGGATAATAATCGAGGTGTGGGCTCACCAAGGGGTTGGCCAAATCCTTTTTCCCATAAAGATAAGAATTGTTAATTTTCCCAAACAGAAATACTCATGCTAACAATTTCCATTGCACTGATAATGAAAAAAAAAATGGGAATAAGACAGGTAAAATTTATTTTTCCTTACCTGGGATAAAATTCCCCGGACCCTGAGGGAAAAACAAGGTGTCCCAAAAGGACTTGTTGAAGCGTTCAGCTTACTCTCAAGCACTCTGCGGATGCGCTCTCGCGCGCTGCGGACGGTGGACCAGGCTGGAAGCCGGGTGTCACAGATTGTTATCACGGCACGGAATTTGTTGTATATTTCGCGCGAGATTCGTGAGTGGGTGTGTCCTATCAACAACGACCCGACAAGCTCCTACAACAATTCAACATTTTTTTTTCTCTGGTAAGTCCTTTGATTCATCAATTATCAAGAGAAAGAAAAAAAGAAAAGGAAAAAAAAACTCACCATTTTGTTTTTAAAAGGGAACCACCTCGATTGTTCATCTGGATCGTCTATGGCATCTTCTGGATCGGCTGGCTCGTCGGACTCGAAAACAGTCTCGTCATCGTGGCGAAATAAATCCTCAAGATGCGCGTTGATCAAATCGTCTAGGCGGATATTTTCGTGGAGGTTCCTGCGGCTCGATTCAGTTGATCCAGGACCGTTCGCCGTCAAGCCCATCGCATGGAGTATCTCGTTGATATTGTGCGTTGTATTTTCTTCTTCTTCATCAGCATTATCGCTTTCTACAGCTTCAATCTGAATCGGTGGTTCGTTTTCCTCTTCAATTTGCTGACGATGTTCCCTTGCCATCTGTTTGTCATGCTCGCGAACCCTCTCTCGATGTTGTACTCCCAGCGCGTGCCTCCGATAGCTCAAAACCTCGCTCCCCGGACACAAAGTACATTGGTAGACGGTCTTCCCGTCTTGGCGCCTTTCTCGACTCGTGAAAAAAGCAGGTAGGTTTCCTTAAAAGCGCAAAAAAAATCAGTGATCTAATTATAATAATCAAAATATTCCACTGACGTTCTGCTTGCCTCGCCATGGCGAATTGTTTTTGGCTGTGGGCTTGTCTGTTGAGTTGATTTTTTGATTGTTTGTTGATTCTTCCAGGCGATTTCGACTCGTGTGGCGTCGCTTATCGACTGTTTTCTGTTGCAGCTGAAGCTCAGGGTGTTGCTTGACTTGGACAAAATCCGGCGATGGTCTCGCTGTGAACAAGTGTCGCTCGACTTGGACGAACATCGGCAATCATCTTGCTGTGAAAGGGGCCAAGGTGAGTGGTCCACTGTGACGTCATGATCATCTCCGACCAGGATCGATTAACAGTTTCTGATCTGCTGACTCCGTCTCTTTTGTTGACCATCGTTGTCTCCACCTTAAATTTCAAGGTTCACAGTTTCGATTCCCTTCTCTCCCGACTCCGTCTTCGATTCGTCATGCCACCACCACGAGACCCACGTTTCCGACTGCCTTCCAAAAAAAAGCAGTCCCAAAAGTTGAAGGACAAAGCGGTCAACAGTGGTATGTTTTTTCTTTTCTTTTCTTGTTTTTTTTTCTGTTGACCGTTCTTTGTTCTGTTGACCGTTCTTTTTCTGTTGACCGTTCTTTGTTCTGTCAACCACTCTTTTTTCTTTGAATCGTCTTCGCTCTTAGATAAAGCAGCAAAGAAAAAGTCGACCAACAAAACCGTCCCGGACAGTTGAGTAATCGATTCCTACTTTGTTTCATCCTACTTCGTTTCCGATTACAAGTTGATGACTCATTTTTTTTCTTCCTTCTGTATTTCATGTGATGATCAAGCCAAGAAACAAACAACCCCACTCAGCGATGTCCGTTCTCCTCTTCCACCACCATCCGAGCATCCGAGTGACGACGAGATGGACTATGATGGCGATAAGGATCGAAGTCAAGACGACCGCATCATTGAAGATGAGAACGATCTTGACAAGCGACCTTCCACCATCGACCCCGTCATCGATGAGTTGAATCAACAGTTCCATCAAGAGTTTGGCCAATCTCAACCCGATACATTCTCCAGCATGACAAGGCCAGCTGGACCACAACCAAGCTTTCACCTGGAGGATCTGAAGAACCTTCGGCGATATACCAAGTTGGACGATCAGCATTTCCTTGAGGCTTTCACCATCTTAAATGCAAGTTGTCTCACTATCTTTTTTCCTTTTCCTTTGTCTTTTCTGACACTGTTTCTTACAAAAAGACTCCCGGCGCTGCTATCCCCTTTCTCGTGATGAAGGAATTCGAGCGCATCCAAGAAGGTTCTCAAGTTCAGCCGCAGGCACCCAAGGATAAGAGTGATGAGATCTCTACTGACGGGTTTGCCTACAGTAATGCACTCAAGGTCAGTTTATCTCTTGCCCTCTTTGTTTGTTACATTCTGACTTTCCACTGTGCAATTCCTCTTTAGAATCGTGTCCGTGATATTACAAAAGCTGCACTCCTTCGACCACACCTTGACCAATACACACGAGGCAAATGGAAGCCTGGAACCAGTGATTCATCATTGTTCACATTTGTCATGGTAAGCCTTTTTTTCCTCTTTCTCCAACTTGATCCATTCTGACAGACATTGGTTATCAGCAAGATTTGATGGCGCTTCCTCTTGAGTTCCGGAAAACCCACTTCCCGGCGGCAATGGAGAAGGACTGTGAAGTCAAGGAGCAGTTCTTCAAAATGGTCCGCGAAATGCACAGGCGCATCCGACTGGCCATCAGGGAGCGGCTGCTCAAGAATATCATCAACTCGAAAGGCGATCTCATCGAAGAAGGCCCAGTTCCACTGCTCTGTGATATTGCTAGGGCAATTTTTCGATACCTTCACCCCGCCGAGGCCACCATGACAGACGCTGATGTAGATAAGGCAATTCCAGTCCTTTGGTACGGCCAAATAGGACACCTACGATTACAAACGGTCGATCTATTGGTTCATTCACAATTCAAGAAGGTCTCACAATGGGCCCTGATTGACGACAAGATCAATGAAGTCAAGGCACGTGGGACAGACTATCGGGCTGCGTAAGTTATTCCTTTTTTGTTTTTGCTTTCTGATAGTCTGTTTACTAACTGCATAATGGAACAGGTTTGGCAAAGCAGTCCTTGTCAAGGATGAGGCCCTTTTTGGGCAAGGCAAAACTTTTGTCGAAATCCTCGAGGATGATGAGGAGAACATTGCGATGCCAAATGAAGATGAAATTCAAGTGCAATTCGACATTATTATCCGCAACCGCATGGCAAGCTCTACTGGCAACACTTGAGCAGTGTTCTTAGGTCATTTTCTCTATTTCAATGTTTTTTATTTTTCATCTTTTGCTTTTTCATTATCATTTCCATCTCTGTTTGCTTTTTATCACCAGATTTTCTTTTTTTTATCATGAGATGTTCTTTTTTTATTACCGGGCTTTCTTTTTTTATCACCAGGTTTTCTTTTTTTTGTTGGTTTTATATTTCTTTTTTATTGGTTTTCAGTTTATCTTTTTGAGTTGTAAGTAGTATAATAACATGAATTAACACTACCAATAATATTACCCCATCTGTGGAATTAACCTTGAAAGTTAAATTACAGTTGATTTACCACCGGTGTGATTTACGACACAAAAAAAAAAGATAAGAAAAAAAAAAGTGGGAAAAAAGAGGGGAAAAAAAAAAAGAAAAAAAAAAAAAAGGTTGAAAAGGCATCC